AAGATCGAGTTGTACAAACATGCCTCCTGAATCCCAGACAGAATCTTCAACAACCTCCACGGCTACCGTCAGAAAACATTTGCCGCCTGTCAAAGACGAGAAGACTGGAGAGTACAAAAGTGTGGCCGACAACTTCACAGGGGCCACTCAGGCTTCCAGATACTTGGTGGTATCAGCGGTTGCTCTCTTCATTTACTTCAGAGCTCCGCTTCAAGATGCTGTGGATCATCTATGGAGCTACTTAATTAAAAATGATTTATTTTGTTCTGCATATTTTGAAACAATTTATGTTACCTTAGTTTATATTGCTTTAGTGGCAGGTTATCCATTTGTGATGCACTACATTCCATGGGTACAAAAATTTAAAGTCAGTGATGATGTCACCTATGTACACAGGCCTTTCTTCGGGAAAGTCGGTATGGTCCTGGAGATGTTTTTTCACCTGACGCCGCTCTTAGTGGCAGATGCTTTGAAGATGAAAAAATACTTTGACGTTCCGGAAATCGAGTGGGAGAAAAGAAGAGGTCAGTGGATACAGACCACGCGAGCGTTGCCAGAACACTCACCCAATGTCCTGCTTATGTGTGGCCAAGTCATCGGATCTGTCATAGCGTTTGACGCCATATTTTTCGTTGTGCACTTCATACTCCACAAAAACTTTTATCTGTACAAATATTTCCATTCCCAACATCACGACCATGACGTCATGCACCCTCACGTGACCAACCAGCTGTCGGTCGTGGAAAGGATCTTGCAGGTGGCCTCGGCGAACTACTCACTGATACTATTCCGAAGCCACCCGCTGTCTCGGCTTGTATTTGTGCCTGTGTTTCTGTGGTTTCTCATCGAGAACCATACGGGCTACGACTTGCCCTGGGCACCACACCGCCTGATTCCGCACGGCGTGATGGGCGGGCCTGCCAAACACCACGCTCACCACCAGCATGGCTCTCGACACTACCAGCCTTTCTTCAATTATCTTGATAAATGGCTTGAAAATTGGCAGCTGAGGAAGAAACTAGCATAATAAGAATCTTTTTACAATTTTTTAAATTTTAGTTTATATCTCAACCCCAGTTAAATCGATGTGATGTGAATGGTAGTACTTTGAAGTTATCATTACTTGGTTTGTTGGTTTGATGATGAGAGGTGATTCAGGAACGAAAAGGTATCATACATATTTTTCAAAAGTTATTTTTGATTTGTTCATTTCCTCTCTTTGTTCATCTATAAGTACTATGGACAGTATAATATGTTTGTTAAATTATCTCTGAAATACAGTATACAAGAACTGATCCAGAAAGAGATAAAAATGTTCATGTCTGGATTCTATCATTGGTATTTTTCACGATTCACACTTTTTGATTTTGTGAGGATAACCTAGACATGTCTGACAGGACAAGAAGCAGCCGGGAAAAGAGTCAAGAGACGGGGATATATTTGTTATGTATTTCACACGCTTGGTTCGAACTCAGTTCTCTGATTTTGTTCAAAGTCTTTTAAAACTTTTTTTCTTCAAACGTTTTGGTAAAAACTTATGCAGAATATTGATAATGCATATTTCAGTTTATTTTGGGATATAGCTAAATGTTCCTTATTTTGTTTCATTTTGCGGTTTGCGCCTTTACCTTCTTACATTTATTGTTTGGTAGTTCACTTAGTTTTTCTATAATGCTAGTTGGACAATGATATTAATTTTCTGATGGAGGCTATTCTTTCATCGGCCTTTATTCTCCTTTTTGTTTTATATTTTTGTAAATGTTATTAACTTTGAATTGTCATGGCAACTAAACGTAACTGATTACCAGAGAACCACGGCCATATCCATAATAGGCTACTTAATTGTCAGTTTTATCTTATCAATGGAGTAGTATTGGATTTTTTTTCTTGCCATGGGATGAGTTGTCTTTGTTGGAATAAGAGATGCCATTTTGATACACAATACAACAAATCATCATTCTTAAAGGTCTCGTATGTTCTACGTTTGAGTTGCAAGGGATATTGAGAGATGAAACTTAGTTATATTTGTTTTGAGCCGTTCACTCAATGTCTCTTTGGATGCCTTTGATAAATTTATCTAATTTATTACCCCAAAGAAATGTGATATTTGTAAGCTGTACAATGCTGATAAGAGTAGGATTTGTTGTTGTTATTTAGCCGTGTTGTGTGTTGACCATTAAGGTACCCCCACCTGTAAGTTGTACAAAATTTCGATATTATATTTGTTACCCACTGTCTATAGTTATTACAATTCCTTTAAAAAGCAATTGAGTAGGTTTGTGTGCGGTCATGTTTTGCTGTTTAAACAATGCTTTCAGTATTTTATGAGATTTTTCTTTACAACAAAGGATAATTATCAGTCAGTTTTATTGATGTACCCGGTGTCACATAGCATAGCCTCTAGCTATGTTGAATTTTCCGTAGAAGTACCGAGAGTGCTGGCGGTTGGAGGGCGCCACTGGTAGGTCCTACTTTTTCACTATCCATCTGTTAATTCTGTCTGTCTTACTTTCCCCCGGCACTAAATGACCATTAATGTGTCGATGTGCTTCTCAAACTCAAACTCAAACTGTACCGAGAGTTTGTTGCCGCTTGAAATCCAAACTGCTACACGCTCTATGCAAAGCACTGATGTCCGTGTTTTTGCAGATACTGCTGGGTCAGCGCTTTTGTCTTGTCTTTTAGCGAAGATTTTGGGGGCTTTTTTTCTTGTTTTTGTGGGAAGGGAGTTGCTTTTGTGAATCTTGACTTAGCTTGGATTGGCACCGACAGGACGTGTCGAAGTAGCCTACCTTCCAATGAATGATCTAACAATGTCCTTAATTCTCATATGAGACTAAACAGTTGAGGAGAATCTCAATAGTTCCTATGAAGTGGCAATATGATTCATTTGAGGTAATACCCAGTGGTGCAAATTACCTATTTGATACGATACATATTTGAAAACGAGTTATGGCGGCTCCAGTGCAAACGACAATGCACAATGGCGTTACCTGATAATCACAACGTTTAATCTGCTCAATGCCTATTTCTTGAGAAATATGACGTCAAATTTTTTTAGTTTCACAATATTTCAAGCTTTTTCGAATGCAATTCTTGGAATATCTTGATAACGACTCCGAATATTTTTACGATTTTGACAGAGCAGATTAGAGCATTTGCTTTCTGGCCTCATGGTCTTATTATAGTGACTCAAATGGCCAAAAATGTCAGATAAAATGTTGTAATATTATTGTCTGAGGTAGCGATGTATATCAAACTAGTATGTGCCTTGCTTCATCAAATTTGACCCAGGAGTCAGTTTGGGCCCATTGCATTCCGCGCACAACCCCGCAACGCTTAGTAGCCTTATGTTTGGCTGTTTTCATGTTTTTGTAAACTTGTTTTGATTTTGGGAGCATTGATCAAATTGTACCTAAGTGGTAGTTTTTGCCCTACAGGAAGGAAAATCTGGCTGTCCCCGACTTATATAAAAATAATGGGCAATGTACCCTGGGTATGAAATGTTGTTGTAATGGTCACCATCTAATTGTTTAAAGGTTTATAAAAATTCGAATAAATCTCTAGATAAGTGGTTCTGTGCGACATTAAGTAGCCTGATTAGCTGTATACTAACTACAGCACTGATTAAAGTTTACAAGGTTACATATCAACATCAAAGCCATGTGTATACTGAGCGACCATTTTAATGACTGTCAAAGATATCGCTTTTCAAAGATGGCTGTGCTTTTATTACTTTTAAAACTTGCAAGTGATAGTGAATTGATTACCAGTACTCACTGATTTGCTTTGTTGAACTGATTATGGAATGCTGTCAGTGAAAATATGTTCGATGTACAATTAAAAACACTGAACTTTGCCTGAAACTGTCATCTCATTCATAGGGTCATATGATGTTTCCGAATTCCGGAATCGTTGCACCTCATTGCCCCGTTACTGAATTTCATCTAATTTAAGCTGACAATAATCCTAGTTATGACTTTTTTCCTAATTTCATCTTTCATTGAATTGTACATAAGCACACTACTTAATTTTACACTCATTTACTCGGCTGTATTGCCAACAATTTGGAATTTATTAATTTCCTATGTTAAAATACCTGGTGAAATAGGAATGGTGACAGTTTGACATTCACGTATTATCTGTGTAACAATTTTGACTTCTCAGTAAACAAAATTTGTTTCTATTAAAAACAGAATAGAAGTTTACAATTTTCAACTATTTCTTTCAGGAGTAAATCAATATCGAGTCTTTCAAAAACCTACTCTTGTCTGTGTTTTGCGATAGTCTTATCAGACGTGCTGTTTTCTCACTTTCTGTAAGCTGAGATCAAATTTATTGGTTAATGAAAACGCATTCCAGTCACATCAGACTTCAGATTTCGGATTGACAGTGTTCAAAACGACCCTAAATGGCGTTTGTGGTGTAGCGGTTAGGCGCTTCACTGTCGCCCACAGAAGACCCTGCCTTGATTCACGAGTAGGGATAATTTTTTAAATTATAGTATCTTCGTTCCTCTACTGAGATGTTGTATCCCTCTCAACCGGGGTTGGCCTTGGCAGGCAGGTTCGAAGCTCACCTCCTTGATCAGTTAAACTGTGTCGATGGGGGCGTAAAAAATTACTTTTTTTTAAAGTCTGAAATGAAACACTGTATAATATGATAAATTATGAGAGTGCCAATCTTAATTTTGCTCTTCAAAATGAATGGTGCCTTTTTATTTCGATTCTGTTGTTCTTTTTGTTTGTTTGCTTTGGGGGGATTATTTGTTTTTGGGTTGGATTTTTAAAAATCTTTCTCTTGTTTGCAGTGAATAATCAGGCAAGAGGAGTAAAGTAAGTAAACCAATTTCCATAATTCATCAAGCTGTTGTTGATTGTGAAATTCTTAGACTTAGTCTTCGATTTTAATCGATTCACTTTATTGACATTCCTAGAAATATGTGCCTCGTTGGGGTTTGTTTTTGTTTGTTGGGGTTGGGGTTGTTTTGTTTGTTTTTTTGGGGGGGGTTGTTGTTGTTTTTGGGGGTTTTTTGGGGGTGGGGTGTTCTTGCTTTGTTGTGTGTGGGGGGGGGTCGTTTGGTCGGGGTTTTTTGGCGACAGTTGTGCTCATAAAAGTTGCGATAGTGAGTTATACTGCACTGAATATTTGATGTGTTTTTTGTTTTTTTCTTTTATATTTTGCATTACAACGTGTACTGAAGAAATACATAACAGTTTTACTTCAGTTAGATGAAGTGTGAAAGATAAAATATGTTTTGTGTTTTTCTTTCTCTCCGAATCACATCGCTTTTGGTAGCTTATTTGTACTTGTAGTGTTTAGGCCTGAGGTATGTTTTTCTCTTTCTCTATTCTTTAACGTACACATTATAAAGATTCATGGTGGGTTTCGTTATCAGAGGCTAATGACCGGGAACGTGACTTGAATAGCGTCTTAACCATTTGCAGAACTGGCGTCGGTGGCAGATGTAACACACAATCATAGTCAAGGCCTTGCAATTTATCATGGGACTGGTTACAAAGTGAGAAGATAGCAAGACATGGTAGATGACTGGGAAAGAAAAAGTCGTAACAGAATCTAAATACCCCCCCCCCCCCCCCCACACACACACACACACACACACACACACACACACACACACACACACACACACCCACACACACACACACACACACACCCCTTCTGAATGTTGAAGACGCCAAGAAAAACACACTTTGGTTACTGACTGTAAATGTTAAATGTCCCAAATGTCATAAAAATCGACGTCTGGTGGTGTCGCGGTCAAGGGCTTCGCCGTCATATACAGGAGATCCAAGCTCAATTTCCGATGGTGAAGAAAATTTTATGGAGTATCCCTGTCGGTCTCGTGAGACGTTGTATCCCTCTCAGCCCGAATTGGTCCCGGCAGGCAGGGTCGAAAGCCAGCCTCCTAAATGATCTAACCTGTGTCGTTGGGGGTGTAAATACACTAACAGTTAAAGAGTGAAATTATAAACGACATGATTAAGATGATTGAAGAGGCTGGCCACTTCGACCTGCTTGCCAAGCCTGGCCTGGATGGGGGACACATACAGAACCCCATCAGAGCTACAGAGATACTGCATAAAATTGAATTCCACTCGTGAGAAGAGAAGTCCCATCTTTGAAGTGCACAATGAAGAGGCTTACCATTGCGCAACAGAATTATGTGGATAAATTAATTATTGAAGCTGCAAGAGGTCCAATAACTTGAAGAAATACCAAGTAACAAAACTGTATAAAAATATCACTGCTTTTGCAGGACTTGCCGTACCTTCAGATCTTCTGGCTCAGCCATTAGAGGGGCCGTCAGAAATTATGCATTACCACTACCCGTGCTCATAAAAAAATGGAGAGACCAGACGGACACCTGCTAAAAGTTAATGTAGCTGTGATACGATCCCATCAACACAGTTCAGATGATTTAGAGGGTGGGCGTCTTCGACCCTTTCTGTCAGGACCAACTTGAGCTGAGGGGGTTACAAAAAATTCAAAGTCTCAGTAGACAGACAGACAGAGATTCTCGATAAAAAAAATCTCCCCACTCGGGAATCAGACCCACGTCCCCTGCGTACACCGCAAAGCGCCAGTTCCCAACATCATAAACTCTGGTATAGAATATAAACTTGAAGTGGTTGGACGTAATTATTGACAAACTTCAATTTCGTCATTCCCATTGCCTTTCTTTTCCAGAGTGGAGAAGAGGGTGGTTGGCGAGTGCTCTGGTGTCGCTTGGTTCTTCTTTCCTATCAAACGTCTATCATCTTTTTCTCCTCTCCTTCTTTTTTGTGTTTGTTACTCTCATTCATGTAACACCTCTAATCTTCGGCACTTATATGACCTTATTGTATTGCAAGTGCCGTAAAACACTTACTTTAAAAAAAGAGTGGAGAAAACGATTGGTAATGGTAATTATATTCCCAACGTGGTTCGAGCATATGTCACAACTTGAAGAACCCGCGCGCTCATATGACCTTATGCAGTTGCCAGCGCCGTAAAACACTTACTAAACAACAACAACAACGTTAAAGAGCCTTCTATAGTGGTATCGGCGACCAAAGAAGGCATTCTTTTTCTTGTAACAAGTTCCAAGTAAACTAAGAGAATACAAAGAAATAAAGGGAAGCAAAACACATGTGACTGATGAGCGATGGTGTGACCCTTTGGGGTTTTTATCTTCATACTACACTACAGCATTGGACAGAAGATTACAGCCATCTTAACAAGTGTTTGAAATGGAGCCAACACATTTCTCACAACACACAGCTACCGAAAATTTTGATATATGAAAGTGAAAGCACACACAAATGTTGTTCGTTTTTGGTGGTGGTGGTGGTGGTGGTGGTGGAGATGGTGTTGTTGTTGTTGCTGTTGCTGCTGTTGCTGCTGTTGTTCTTGTTCTTGTTTTTGTCGTCGTCCTCGTCGTCGTTGTTGCTATTGTTGCAGTTGTTGTTGTTGTTGTTGTTGTTGTTGTTTAACACCTCTCAACATTGTAGGACCTCGGAATTGAATGACCACCCCCGCAAAGACCACGCAACACAGGTGAGTGGAAAGCCGTAAGAACTCCCCAAAGCAACACAAGTTCAAGAACGCTAAGTCGGGGACTCAAAAGCGAGCCATCCGTTCCGCAGTCCAGCTTTATACTAACTAAGCAAAGCTCAATCAAAACAGAGATTTGGCAGTTCGGTCTGTGATTAAAAATGAAACGATAATAGCTGAAATACATTACTAACTGTTCTAATTTGATAATGATAATAATGACAATAATAATGATGATGATGACAATAATAATAACAACAATAATAATGATGGTAGAAGTAGTAGTAGCAGCAGCAGCAGCAGCAGCAGCAGCAGCAGCAGCAGCGGCGGCAGTAGTAGTAGTAGTAGCAGTAGTAGTAGTAGTAGTAGTTGTTGTTGTTATTAATGTTCCTCCCTCAATGTCTGGCGATGACCACTGCATCTGCAGAGGAGAATAGTAGAAAAAATAAGGTATAAGATGACGTGTGGCTTCTGCAATGGCCAATGGAACCAGTTACGACAGAGAAGAATTTGCCCACAGTTTGAGCATTTAATAAAAACTTTACTTTTTCTTCTGTATTAATGCAGCTCACGGGCTTCTCTCTTGGCTTCAAAATTCCAAAAACAACTGTTCCAACTACCTAACAATTACGTTACGGTACTGGATCACTCTGTCTAAAACCGCTGAAAAAATAGGGTTAAATGGAAAAGGTTTAACGCCCCTATCAACACGATTAGGCTGTTTAAAATGCAAAACCTACGAGTTCAACGTCCGTCTCCGAAAGGACCGAGCCAAATGGGAAATTCGTGTAAAGTTTCTTTCCAAGAACCCAACGTCGGACGATTACGGATCCGATCGCCTAATCAAACCGGCGTCAGTGGGGTAGCGGTTAGATGCTTCACTTTTGCACGTAAGAGACCCGAGTTTGATCCTCGATTTGGAACTAACTCGTCATCTTCATCTCGAGCATTTAATTTTTAAAAAGCATATGACCTTATGCAGTTGCGAGTGCCGTAAAACCTCTACTACTAAAAAACATTTAATAAAAGAATGCCGAAAATCACATAGGGGCGCTTCTAAGTGATGACATCTATGCTATCATACTTTCATAAAAGTGAAAGGAGTGTATAACTTTTGTAACATTTTTCTTAGGCAGTGCACTTGCGTTCCGTAATACTTGTAAAGGATTAACACGTCAAGGTTACCTTGTGTGCTTACAAGTTATCGCTGTCGGCATTCGCCACAGATCCTGAGGCACTTCTGTCATCGTCGGAGCGTGTAAAAAGCCTGAAAATTCCACAGAATTACAGGGTCGCCTCTTCTTAAACTAATACCCGCAAATTCATCAATAATATAATATATAAATATAATATACACACAGAAAGTAGCACATGCAGTATTGGGGGATCAGAAGCAAAATTGCGTCAACTCAGATATCACGGGCGATAAAAGTCCCCGTCTCTAAAGAGATAGGCCACAATCAACGAAAAAGGGAAAGACAGACAGTTAGTTCGTATTAAGTGCACAAAATGTTATATCAAATTACTTCCATATTCTATCCCCATGTGATAGCACGCGACCGCGAATGGCACCATTAAGTCTGACTAAGAGTATATTAAAGGCAAGGAGATGTGAAAAAAATACAAATAAATAATTAAATTACGTAATCACACACACACACACACACACACACACACACACACACACACACACACACACACACACACGCACATACATACAGAGAGAGAGAGAGAGATAAAGAGAGAGAGAGAGGGGGGAGGCAGAGAGAGAGAGAGAGAGATAGAGAGGGAGAGAGAGAGAGAGAGAGAGAGAGAGAGAGAGAGAGAGAGAGAGAGAGAGAGAGAGAGAGAGAAAGAACGTAAAATAATAATATGAAGAACTAGGCCCTTGTTTTGACATTCATGGACACGGACAGTTTAATTGTATTTCTTCACGCTGATAAAGTCTCGTAATACAAGTACATGTCGCCGGTTTTATTAAGGCTCGTTCAAACTAACACGCATATGCAACAAACTCGTACATGTATCAAGCAGTCGCTGGCAATTTTCGCCTGCTCGTCTCTCATCATCGCCAAGTGACATCAGACTTCGCAGCCGTGGAAATATTCCTCTGGTGCGGTCAGAAAATCGTGGCGTCACTTAATGTCAAATATTTTCTAAACTTTTGAACATAGACTCTCCAGCTTTTGTACAATGAGTTGTAGCAATTTATCTTAACAGATCAATATAATTTTTGTAAATACCTGTTAGCTGTATTCTAGAAAATTCCTTATACTTATTAAAAACCTAAAAGGATTACAGTCAGGTCATTATCGCTTTTAAAAACAAGTTTTTTATCTAATTAATTCCTTGTTTGTAACAAGTTTTGTTGGTGATCTGGGACGCAGGCCATATGCGTATGCAGAATGTGTGTGTGTGAAAAGCGGGCAATGCTGTGAACAATTCCATTTTCCTCGTGACGGAGATTTATAGCATTTCACATAAATTTATAAAGAGAAGTCGGGGTTTTTTTCATGTGTCCTCAATTATTGTGGAAAAATATGATTAAGTTAAGACAAATTGATGCAAACTGCAGAGCAAAATATGGGTGACATTGCTTAACCCGTTAAAGAGATATTCGAGGATAAGTTGTGCCACGTATTTTTGAACACACTTTAGTGTGCACAGGGCTTATTATGTACCTATGTGCATGAC